CCAGACCATATACTCAGCCTCCCACTTGACAAGTATTTCCTCCCAGATTTCTCAACTAAACATGTCCGGAATTACTGGATATTCTTCCAACCTCCACCCCCAGCCCCCAAATTCTGTTCCTTCTCTACTCTTCCCATCTCAATCTCAGAGCAGCTCCATCCAAGAGGTGCATGAGCAAGTCATTCTTCACACTTCCTACAACACCCATCTCCATGTAATCCACACCAGGTCCTCCCATTCAAGCATTAGTAACATTAGGCTCCATCCCCACTGCCACCCTCTTAACTAATCATCTAATTTGTATACCTCTCAAACACCACAGGGCAAACACCATGATCTCACGAAAACACAAATCAGAGCATGTCACAGCCCAAATTTAAATCCTTCACTGGCCTCCCACCGCATTTTCAGATAAAATCTAAATGCCCAACATGCCACACAAAGACCTAGATCCTAGTCTCTGCTCCAAAATCATCCTGGTCCTTCTTTCACATGATTCATTCACTACCGTCGATGGCTCCGGACTTACTTCAGTTTCTGAAACTCTTCCCTACAGAGTAATATCTCTCTTCATAACATACTCCACACCACCCCCACCTTCACACCTCTGCCTTTACTTAACCCTCCTCAAACTTCAGATTTCTGCTAAAACCTCAAAAAAAGGGGGGGGGGGGTGAGGGGGCTTCCTAATCCACCAATATAAACTGAATCAGTTATTCGCTCATAAAACCCTATGCTTTCTTGTCACAACAATTATCTAAACTGCTAACTACATTAACCTGACTGATTTTATCATCTACACTAGACTGTAAGCTCCATAAGGCCAAAGAAATATCTGTTTTGTTCTCCTAGTACAGAGCTTGGTGTTTTTTTAAAGAATGCATTTCATAAATAGTTAGGGAATAGGAACAGTTGCTGATATCTTCATTAAATCCTCCCCTTCTGCTGTCTCTCTTATCTCTTAGGAACCTTTACATGTTACTGGGTAGCTACAGATAATTCCTGCATGAAACATCATGCGTAAATACATCATTTTTCTTACTGATTTATATTGCAAAATCAGAAGTACTTTACTACTTTCCTGTAAAATTAACAATGAGAATTAGTTGGCACCTAGGCTACATTCACCTTACTCCAAGCAGTTAACTCTGAAAGTTACCAAGCTACTTTTACAGAAATCTGTAGTACATTTTTTTTTCCAATTTCTGACAGTGCCAACACCACCTCCCCATGCCCATGTCAGAAAGTCCTATGCACCAAATCATATTCAAAATATCATTCCTATCCAGCCCCATAACCTCATGGTTAGATTATATCAACAAATTATGGATGGTGTCCTGCCCTCTATGCTGCTCCCCATTTAAGTCCACTCTTTACCAAAGACATTTAAGGCGAAAAGTCCCCTACTGGAGAACCCACCCTTTCATTGTCAATCAACATTAAATTCTTCTGACTAGACTGAAGGCATGTTATCCAAAAGTGGTCCTCTGTTTTGGTAAAAACTTGGAAGGTGACACTTAATTATATGTGCTTGACAATTTGATACTGTTTCAAGCTAAAATTTACATATAGCTCTAGCTCATTTCTACAGCCTAATCTAAAACTGAACTTGCATTCCTGAAACTAAACAAAACTGTTTTTTGAGGAAAACCATGAAAATGCCTGTCATATCAGTTGTTTCAACTTTTAGCAAGAACTAAAAAGGTGCAAGTTCTCAGCATTTTCCAACACATATATTCTTAACTAAAAAGAGATTATGATATGAAAGTATAACATTTCAGAAAGGAAACTACACCAACACACAACATAAGTATACCCCTAAGAATCTAGGTTTTTAAAATTATAATAGACTATATAAAACATATATGTGCACGTGTATCTTCATATACAGCTGATCTTCATTATTTGACTTCATATTTGTAAATTTGCTTACTTGTCAAAATTTGTATCCCTGAAATCAATGCAGTATCTCAAAATCAAAACAATGGCACTTTCATAGTCATTTGCAGACTGCACAGTGGCAAAAATTTTGAGTAGGCCAGCTGGCATCAATGAGGTATCACTCTGCCTTCTTTCAGCTCTCATGCTGTAAGCAACGGCCCTTTTCAATGTCTATACCAAGTCGTGTTTTTCTTGTTTTTGTGGTTTTTACTGATGATTCTGTTGTTTAGTGCCAAAATGTTGTCCACCTAGCATTCCTTAGAGCAAGAAGGCTATGATGTCCCTTACAGAGAAAATCTGTGTGTTCGCTAAGCTTCATTTAGGCACGAACTACAGTACTGCTGGCCATGAATTCAATGTTAATGAGTGAACAATATAGATACTAAACAAGGTGTCTTGAAACAGAAACACACATAAAACAAGGTTTATATTGACTGACTAGCAAAAATGTGAACAGAGACTTGTGGTACCCTAAAACTGTATTTCCCCTAGGCACAATGATTCCATATTTGCTAAATCACTGTTGACGACAACGTTATAGAACATAAGCTCTATGAATAATGAGAATCTAATATGTACATGGGGAGGGAGACAGGTAGCCCTCCCACCAGGTTGACTGAGGACTCAAAGACACTGCAGAAGTCATTCTGAGCAGCAGCATGGCAAGACACTCAGGACATAGCATCCGGAGTCCTAGCTCCATTTAAACAACACTGACAGAAAACAAAAACGTAAAACCTACTAAGCTTGTTTTTTGCTATCTTTGCTTCTACCTTTTTCCCACTCAATGGTAAATCTCTCCCCAGTTCAGGTGCTCTAACCTCTAACGCCTTTTCATAAGCATTTGCCACATTTTTACAACTGGGCAAATACATCTGCAAATTAAAGCAATGATCATTCTTGAATGTAAACCACATTTGTGCTTAAACATCTACACTGTGGCATATTTGGAAAGGAGAGGATATGAAGCATATGAAATGACAATATATCGTCAGAATCAAAGAGTAAACCAACTATAGACAATTTCAGTTGTGTGTGTGCTGGAAAGAGAAGAAATACACAAGAGAACAAGACCAAGGACTCAGCCTTCCCTCCACAGAAGGCCAAAAGCCTAGGTCCAGGAGCTGGGATGTTGGCGGGGGCGGCGGGTGCGGGGGGAGTAGTGCCATCTTTCAAAAGAGTTTGTTCAATGCTTGCTTCCTCCTAACACTCGACTGACTGCAGATTTTTCCAAGAGAAATGACAAATTATGGCAAAAGGCAGTGGAACATTAACAGTGACATTAGTGACTGAAAAAAATTTTCTTTTAAATTTTTTTGTGTGGTTGAGCACTCCCCTTTTGAAATTTTTTTATTTGCATTTTCCAAAATTATTTTTTGTTGAAAATAGCTTGCTCAGAAGTAATCATAGGACATGCATGGAGCAGTGGCAAAAGATACAAATCCAAAGTCTAGTTTCATGAAATGTTGATGATTTCCTTCTATTAAATAAAAGACTCATCTGGGGTTTAGTGAAATGAAGTGAGTGTAATACTCAAGTCACACTTGAATTAGTTACTACAGTTCAAAAGACAGAAGTACAGCATGTGAGTTAACAGCCCTGTCTTCTGAAAACCTACAGCTTAAGCTACAATTCAAACATTTGAAATTCCTGTAAAATAATGTGATAGGAACTTTCACAGCGTAGTAAATCTGTCTGTCAACATCCATTACCATACACTCATTATTTGACAAGCTAAGGATCCTCCTCCCACGTCTCTAAGGTTCAGCCAGGCTCATTACTAGGGGCAATAGCTTGCCAAACAATGCATCCATCCCTGAACCATTCAAATCTTCTTTCTCTTTAGAGTATTTAATAGACAATAACCTTCCATTTTTCCTCTTGTACTCATTTACTATTGTTTACAGCATTTCAAAAAGCACAAGTAGAATCTCAGTCTACTGTCTCCAAACCACATCAACAACTAGCTCTCAGAGAACCAAAACTACTGTCTTTGATTTCTTCTCTCTTAATTTTGGAACTTAAAGGGCCATTTACCAACAAATTTGGAGAAGGAAATGGCAACCCACTCCAGTATTCTTGCCTGGACAATCCCACGGACAGAGGAGCCTGGTGGGCTACTGTTCATGGGGTCACAAAGAGTCGGACACAAGTGAGGGGCTAAGTACACCAACAAATTATTTCTTGAGAAGCACTTAAGTATTTTTTCCGTAATATCATTCTGCGATTAAAAACTCAAAAGCCAATAAAACAAGCGACAAAACAAGAGTTATCTCCTACAAGCCGATTATGCACGATACACAAAACTAAAGTGTAGGATCTTTTTCTTTTTAACAGAGTAAACTTTTTTGCAAGCAGCTTTGCAATTGTTGACATAACCCGGTAAAAATAATGAACAAAACTTCTCAAGTGAAAGTTAACCTTTCATACCGCCTTTTCAAGTACTATCAAAGAGACGTCCTGCAAGGACATGACCAGCAACTGGTCTCATAGAGAAGATTCTAAATAACAAGGCAGGCTTCAAGTTTACCTGCTCCCCCAATGGCAACCCACTGACTGAAATCTGGGGCAAAGCATCACCTCCAGCACGAGCACACACAGAAATAAATTTGTTTTTCAACTGACGACTGAGCAGCAGCAAACACAGGCGAACACCCGGGGCTGCGGGGTCCTGAGCCCTGCGGCGCGGGTGGAGAGGCTAGTGCAGGACAGCCGCCTGAGCCGGAGCGGGGAGCCCCAATCCTGCTCGATCTGAAGCTCTAATGAGTCACTGGTTCAATCATGACACCGCAGCCCTAGTTAAGATGCTTCCTATTTATCTCCCAGCCTCAAGAGGGAGTGAAAATGACAACTCGTACTGAAAGTACTGTGCACGGGTCAGAGCTGCCGGCGGCCAGAAAAGCCGACTTAGGCGCGAGCCCCCGCCGGCCTGGCCGAGGAAGCAGGAAAGAAGAGTGAGCCGCGAGGGCGCGGAAAGAAGCGGGAGAGAACGGGAGAAGCTACCGCCACACCCCAGCCCTCCCTCACCTGCCTGCCCGAGACTCCCCGGGCGCCCGTACCTTCGGCCAGCGACTCCTCCAGGGTGACCTGGTAGCGGCCGACCGCGAACACCCGGACCCCCACGGACGAGCTACCGGCGCCGGCCCCGCCGGCACCGCCACCCGCCGCTCCGCCGCCGCCGCCGCCCTCCGACTTGGGCATTCGAGAGAACTTCTTCATGGTCCCGCCGGCGCGCTGGAGGGCGCGGGACGCGCGTAAGGGCGAGCGAGAGGGCGAGTGCCCGGCCCGGCGCGCGCGGCCGGGGCGTCCGCGAGGGGTCACCGCCCCTCGCCTGTCCGAGCGTCCGTGCGCGCTGCGGCCCGCCGAGCCTCACATTCCGCGCGCCCCGAGCGCACTGCCCCGGCCCCGCCGCCCGCTCCGCGGCTCCGCTGCAGCTGCCGGGCTCCCGCAGAGGGCGGCGAGGAGGGCGGGGACGGGGCGGGGCTCGAGGGGGCGGGCCCGAGTGCGGGAGCGACGCGGCCGCCTCCGCCAGTGCCTCGGGCGCCCTCGCCGCCGCGCTAGGCGCCGGGAGCGCGAACCCCGGAGGAGGGCGCCAGCGGGGGAGAGGGCCAAGGGGGCGGGGCGGCCGGTCCCTCCGAGGAGTGGGCTGGACCACTCAGGCCTCACACCCGCTGGACCGCACCGCCGCCGCCCCGGCCGAACCCGCGCCGCCCGCCACTCGCGGCCGTTGGCGGCGCGGCGCCCCTGCCAACCGCTCACTGAAGCAAGGCGCCCCGCGCAGGCGCGTTGCCTGCGCCGCCGGAAGTGACGGTTCCGGCTCTTGTCACGTGGAGGGGGGAGGACGGGGGAGGCGATAGTGGGGGTTGGGGACGAGGGCGAGGTCCAGAATCCCGGGTCTGGGGTCCCGGCCGGGAGGATTCAGGCCTGACTCCTGGGGTCCCGGCTTCGAGCAGGGAGGTGGTCAGGGGACCGGTTTTGGCTCTGGCTGTGCGGCGAGGTCTACCATCGCCGCTGGAGGTTGGTATGTCACTCGGGGGCTTAAAAATGCCGCCAACAACTTCGCCCCTGCGAAGGGACTTTTCTCCCTGCATTTCTAAGTCGTTTTTCCAGAAATTCTCCCCTGAGAATCTTCTTCCGCTCGCCCACCCCGAGCGTGGGAGGTGGGAGCAGCACAGAAGTAGAGCGGATTTCAGTAACATAACTTCTAAAGCCGTGGTGTCGCACTCTGGGTAACAGCCGCTAGTGCTGAGAGCGTTTTGCGGTTTATAAATGACTTAGGAGTACTTTCAGAATCTCGTGTGTGCTCTGCAACAACCCTGCGAAGTATTCAGAAGAGGTATTCAGTCCGTTTCAAGACCTTTCATCACCTTCGGGCAAGAGAGTTTAACGGACTTGCCCAAGGTCACATGGCTGGCTTGTGACGGAGTGCAAGTGCAAGGGCCATCCTTGGATACTTAGTTTCATACCTCGGGCTGTTCGGGAAAAGTAGGTTAGGCTCAGATCGTTGAAAAACGGCAGATTTAGGACTGTTTGCAAGCAAAATCAGTCATTGGCCCACCGCCCCTTAACAAAGAGATTTGCCCATTAAAAAAAAAAAGACCCGTTGCATCCATTTCATAAACTGCAGGAATCTCAGTGCCTGCGGCGTGAGGCAGGCAAAGTGAACGTTGGTGTAAGACGTTCAGAATGGTAAGGAATGGGAAATCACAGAGCTCATTCTCAAACCAAGCCTGCTTCCCATCCATCCCCACCCCCGCCACCACCACCCTGTATGAATACAGGCCCACTGTGGCCAAACGTTCCATTTGTAAAGCAGACATCTAAATTCCCCCCCCCCCATACGGCATTTCCCAAGTCTTAAATGTAGGCCAAATAAATTGTGCCTGCACGATACCAATGTACACCTGTGAAAGTGGGTATTGTGGTTCTATCCCCACCGCGCCCCGCCCAATGAGATACAGGCAGAAACGTTAGGAAATGTACTTAGGCAAAAGTTTTGGGGCTTAAAAATCTTTTTTTTTTTTTTTCTTCTCGTCTGCTATTTCGAGAGAAACTATTTCTGCCAACACAGTGCTCTGGATTTGGGGCATTTTTACTGCATAACCCACTAAGATTCTTCATCTAGAGATGTGACCTTTGAAGCACATTCCAGCTGTATGGAAGTCAGATTTATATGCAGATCATTGATGTGGTGTGACAATGGGGGATTTCCATTTAGAAATAAGCAGATCATTCTCCTAACTGTGGGGATTCACTGTGGAGTCTCATTCCTACCGTATTCGAATTAGTTTTTCAAGTCGAATAACTGAGAGATTTAGTCATTTTGTACAATGGCAAAATGCAGTCAGCCTAACATGCAAAGTTTGGGCCTAATACAGCTTCACCTGATGACCATACAAGAGTAAGTGAAGTCTCCTGTGATCAGTTTGGGAGCCAATTTACCACAATTGCTGTGGTTTAAAAAAAAAAGAAATCACTTCTGTCTACCCAAATAATGTGACTTCTGACGTGGAAGTTGATAATTAAAGAATAGGCCCCGTCTCAAAAATTATGGGTAACACTAAGCAATGTATTCTTTAACTTTTCACCAAGCACATAATAAAAAATAGGAATATTGTTTGATCTTCTCTGTTTACTCCACAATATTCTGTGACAAATAAGAATTTAAAGACATTGTGTTACTAATAAGGATGCCAACATTTACAAACACTACCAAAAGATGTTGATATTAACTGTCAGATTGTATCCTTCTGGCAACTCTGTAAGTTAAAATTGAGTGTCCTTAAACCAATGTGTAGGCAGAAAATGAGGTACTCATCAGTGGAAAAACTATAGTGAGAATTCTAGTCTTAGTTTTGCACTCCTTTCACTTGGGCTTCCTGTTGGAAAATCTCTAGGAAAAAAAAAACTGTGGGTAACATACATTCTGACCATGCTAACCCACTGTCATTGAGGTGTCTTAACACAGGTATAGTTTAATAAAAGTAAAAAATTACATTTCAGGTTTCTCTGATATGTATGTCAATCTTTCAAATGTCTGTAGTTGTACTGCAATAAAAATAGTTGGAAACTAGCCACATAACAGACTTTTTTAAAAAGCAGGTTGTTCCAGCTTGCAAGGTTTCATGTCACAGTATACCTATAAAGTCAACAAATCATTGTAACCAAATGAAGCATCTTGAGATCCTCAAATGGGAAGGAATTTGACAATGGATGGGGGTGGGGGAGCTTATTGTTATATTTTGGTCTTCTACTGGAAAGTTATAATGCTTCTTGTTACTTTGATTCTCCTCTTCTTTGCACTAAGGTGGCTCTCAAAGACATATGTGAAGACTGGCATGAACAAGGTATGCTCATCCCAAAAGGCTTATTCAGACCAGTGCCTTAATTACTTTTGTAAGTCATCTCTTCCAAAGCCTGATTGATCATTTTTCCTCCCGAGTCAATGTTTTCCTTTGATGATGTGTCTTCAATCATTATTAGCCTCATTATCTTTTACTAGCAGGAAAAATTAGCCTCCCTGCCTACAATTACTTTATACCTATGCCTGTATCTTTGCTTTCCAAAAGAGGTAGTCCTAAAGTCCATTAAAAGAACATATGCATATATATATTGGAGAAGGAAATAGCACCCCACTCCAGTATTCTTGCCTGGAAAATCCCATGGAAAGAGGAGCCTGGTGGGGTACAGTCCATAGGGTCCAAAGAGTCGACATGACTGTGTGCATGTGCACATGCACATGGGTATATCCATTTAAAAAGCAATTCTTTTAATTAAAGTATCAGTAATATTTAAATCCTCTGTTAAGACTATTCAACGTCAATATACCTGTAAAATATGTATATATGCATGTAAGAAAGATCACTTTCATAGCTTAAAATACGAAGATGCTCAAGAATATTCTTAATAAGAGAAATGACTCATGTGACATAAATTATTTTTCTGTGATAGGATTTTTCCTATAACTTTTACCATGCTTTTTAAAAAGACTGCAAGAAGTAGGCAACTTTACAACCAAGAGAGGTACTTTGATCCCTGACCCCATTGAATTGGGGAGGGGGTGGGGGAGCAGTCCTCCAGATAGACAGCACTTCAGGCTCAAACCTCATGTCAGGAATATCTTGCTGCCCCAGGAAGCATTTGTCCTCGAAATGGATTACAGTCACATGTCTGGATATGTTCCTGCCCTCCCTCTCCTTGTTAGGCTTTGTATTTTGCTCCTATGGCCGAGCTACTACCCTGCTCCCAGTTACATTCATATAAAACTTAGCAGAGCATAAAATAACAACTCTTATTGGGCACTTGCAATGTACCAGTGTTATTTAAAAGTGCATATATTAACTCAGTAATTCCTCATAACACAATGAAATAACACTTCAAATTACTACTACTTTGCAGAAGAGAATACTAATTCACAGAGAGATCTGTTAACACATTCAAAGTCTGTCTTGTGACTAGTAACAGGTTTCAAAACCAGGTAGTATGGCTTTATAGCTCATGCTCTTAATCACCACACCATGGAGACTCCTTGAAAACACACAATAAACAATATGATTGCTACAGTCTAAGGTGATAAGATACCCTCCTATGCCCTCGGGCCATATCACTCACTTAACAAGAGTGTGCTACTTAGATTCAGGTAACCCTGCTATAATAAGTGACAATTTCTGATTAACTAGGTATACTGAAAAGTTAACAAGTATCCGCTGAACATCTCCAGTGGGTAAAGCACTGTGTATTGGGGGAGTAACTAGATGATACAAAGTTGAATAAAGTCAAGATTTCAGAGTTTACCCTCTTGGAGGATGAGGGAGACATGTACACAGCCATAATAGAGGCAGAGAGAAAAGATTGTGTATTGAGGTAGAGTTGACTAAGTTCTGGACAAAAATCATGGTCTCTAAGGTTGTGCAATGATGAGATGTTGCCTTCAAATCTCCTCCTGACAGTATGGTTGATGTTATGATATCAAAACTTCTGGAAACAGAAAAACTGCTCTTCTGGGTTTGGAAGCAGGTGGGCAATTCCTATGGACAGATACTGAATCCTGTCCCCATATACTGAACTGATGCTGAATCTCTGCATTTGCACAATATTCAGATTTACTCAAGCAACACTCTTTAAGCTACTATAGAGGAACACAGAGAAAGAAAGGGTTGAAGCTAAAGTCAGCTTTTGCATCAATCCATTATCAAAATTCACTTTCTATTTTACCCACA